CTGACTGTACAGTTATTACTTAGTGGGTGTGACACACTCTGACTGTACAGTTATTACTTAGTGGGTGTGACACACTCTGACTGTACAGTTATTACTTAGTGGGTGTGACACACTCTGACTGCACAGATATTACTTAGTGGGTGTGACACACACTGTACAGTTATTACTTAGTGGGTGTGACACACTCTGACTGTACAGTTATTACTTAGTGGGTGTGACACACTCTGTACAGTTATTACTTAGTGGGTGTGACACACTCTGACTGTACAGTTATTACTTAGTGGGTGTGACACACTCTGTACAGTTATTACTTAGTGGGTGTGACACACTCTGACTGTACAGTTATTACTTAGTGGGTGTGACACACTCTGACTGTACAGCTATTACTTAGTGGGTGTGACACACTCTGTACAGTTAATACTTAGTGGGTGTGACACACTCTACTCGACTGTAAAGCTAATACTTAGTGGGTGTGACACACTCTGACTGCACAGATATTACTTAGTGGGTGTGACACACTCTGACTGCACAGATATTACTTAGTGGGTGTGACACACTCTGTACAGTTATTACTTAGTGGGTGTGACACACTCTGTACAGCTATTACTTAGTGGGTGTGACACACTCTGCACAGCTATTACTTAGTGGGTGTGAGACTGACTGTACAGGTATTACTTAGGTGTGCATCCTGTGGACACAAACACGGGCGAGCAGATTGGGAACAAAGGACTTCACACCAGCAAAGGAGACCAAGCATGCATGTGACTTAACCTGAATAAGAGCTAAGACCGGGGCACAGATGGTGGGATCTGAAAACAGGTGGGAGAGATGAGGCCAGAAAGGGCCAGGCGGGGATGCAGGAAAATGCAGCAGAGGTGGAATGCGGGGTTCATGGCAAAGTGAGAGTAAAGCCACGTCAGCCAAGGGCACGGAGGGAGTGGGTGCAGGAGAAAGCAGGCCACCGCCTGGCTGAGCAGCAGGGAGCAGGCCGTGTAGGCGCAGCACTGGGATCTCTGCTCCTCTCTCGGTCCGGACTTGGTTCCGGGAGCAGGAGGCCCACCAGTGTGTGAGCAGGACGGACTTGTGAGGAGGGGGACAGGGACGTGGGTGCCCCGAGGGGATGGCTGGGAGTCACCCAGGGCGGGACCCACCACAGTGACAGGAGCCTGTACCTTCGTGTGGGCGTCCTGGTTCGCCCCGTGCCTGACGAGAATGTCAGCGACGTTCACTTTGTCCTCCTGGGCTGCGAGGTGCAAGGCTGTGAGTCCGCTCTGCAGAGAGAATGGGGCAGCGGGTACGGTGGAGACGATGCACTGATCGTCTGTAATATCCCATCTTGAAAAAAGTCCTGCAATTACAGCTTCTCCCTGGAAACCACATCTTTTGAAATTGAAGCCAAACCCCCTAAGTTATGGCCACTTTCCACTCAAGGCA